TTCACAATTGCAAGGAGCTGGAAACAGCCCAAATTTGCATCAACAGACGAATGAATTAAAAAACTCTGGTACAATGGAGTATTACACATCCCTAAAAAGCAGTGATGAACATATGAAGCAAATCACTGCATGGGAAGAATTGGAGGAAATTATGCTAAGTCAAGTAAGCCAAACACAAAAGGACAAGTACTACATGAGTCCGCAAAGGTAAGCTCAAAAAAAAAATTTTTTTTTTTCAAAAAGGGCATAAGGAAGAAGATGCTATATACATACGTTCCTGGAGTGAGGTCCAGGTAATATGGCAGGGGCCAGACTAAACCCAGGGATACATATGGGATACATATGGTAGCTTCACTAAAAGGGAGGAGGGAAAAAGGTACGGGTAGCCGGGGGAACAGGGCACTAACCCACACAGAGGGAGGGTGTTGATTGTGTCTCCACAGGGAAAGAGGGACCAGACTTCAACCCGGAGTTCCAAGACAGGAACGCAACACACTGACATGAGTAAGGAACCGATGGAGAGGCCTGAGGGCCCGGCCCCATTACCAACTGGGTGCACAGCACCACCCTCCCCCAGGGGACAGCACTGAAGCTGCAGTTCGAGAAGAGGGGAAGGGGGACTGGTCTGGTCAGAGCGCATGTGAGCCAGTGAGGGGGGAAGGGGAAGAAAAGGAAAGAGTGGAGCACATCCTGGCTCGCTGAGCCCTGGGGACAATGTGCCTGTTCAGAACAGTGATGCACGGAGATGACCATGGGGGCAGGCCCGCATGGGACACAGAATTCCTCTTGACCCATCGCACCACTGGGGACAGCACTGTAGACAAACGGCGGGAACTGTGCCCCCCATGAGCTCACCACACCGAACGACAGCCTCTAGGGGCATGCATCAGAGCAGCGGGGGGAGCAGAGCGGTGAGGTCCTCAGGGATAGAGGCATGTCGGGGCATGGCACCCAATCAGACTTGACTGGAAAGCACATGTGAAAGAAAACAAACAGACCCTGAACTATTCACACAGTTATATATGTATGTATGTGTGTGTATTGTTGTTGTAGCCATTGTTTTACTTTCTGTTGTTGCTTCGTTGCACTCAGTCTGGTGTTGATACATAGCATGTCTACCTGGAAGGGCTAGGCAGAATAAAACCAGAAGAGAGAACAACGGGATGACAGTTCTGGGGAACATGGGGGTAGGGGAGGGGGGGGGGTGTTAAGAAGCACAGGGAGAAAGTAACAATAAGTGATCCAAAATCAATGTCAAGTAGGGTACGGGAGGCCTTGCAGGGCTGGATCAAGTGCAATGTAACCAAGAGGAATGCCTAAAACCCAAATGAAGGCAGAACATGATAGTGGGACAAGAGGAAAGTACAAGAAATAGAGAAAAGAACTAGGAGGCAAAGGGTAGTCATAGAGATGTAAATACAGGCATATAAAGATGTAAATATATATATGATGAGGGGGAAATAGATCTATGTACATATATTTATAAGTTGATTATTAAGAAAACAGATGGACAGTGGGCCCCTACACAAGTACTCCCCCAACACAAGAATACTTTGTTCTAAAAATTCGGCAGTCTGAGATGCTCCCCTGCCTGGCATGATCGCTAAAGACAATGGGTGCACAAGAAAATGTGGTGACAATTGATGTGTGTATGGATTGGGATAACAGTTGTATGAGTCCCTAATAAAATGTTAAAAAAAAGAAAGAAAGAAAATGTGGTGAAGAAAGCAGATGATGCTTGGCTACCAAAAGATATAACAAACACCTGAAGGCACTGAAGACAATGGGTGCACAAGCAAGTGTGGTGAAGAAAGCTGATGGTGCTCAGCTACCAAAAGATATAGCACCTGAAGCCTTAAAGACCTGAAGATAAACAAGCAGCCATCCAGCTGAGAGACAACAAAACCCACACAGAAGCACACCAGCCTACCCCTACTCGATCGCTGAAGACAAAGGGGGTGCATTAACAAAAGTGGGGAAGAAAGCAGATGGTGCCCGGCTATCAAATGATACAGCATCTGGGGTCTTACAGGCTTGAAGACAAACAGGCGGCCATCTAGCTAAGAAACAACAAAACCCACAAGGAAGAAGCACACCAGCCTACCCCAACATGAATGCTGAAGACAAAGCAGGTACATAAGCAAATGCGGTGAAGAAAGCTGATGGTGCCAAGCTGTCAAATTACACAGAATCTGGGGTCCCACATGCTGGGAGATAAACAAGGGGCCATCTAACTGTGAAACAACCAAGCCCACATGGAAGAAGCACACCAGCCTGTAAGATGACAAGGCAGTGAAGGGGTCAGGTATCAGGCATCAAAGACCAAAAAAAAAAAAAAAATCCTAACACTGTGAATGAGGGAGAGTGCAGAGTGGGGACCCAGGGCCCATCCGGGGGAAACTGGACATCCCCTTGCAGAAGGGCTGCGGGAAGGAGAGGAGCAAATCAGAGTGCAGTGTAGTAACGATGAAATATGCAATTTTCCTCTAGTTCTTAAATGCTTCCTCCACCCCACTACCATGATCCAAATTCTACCTTACATATCCGGCTGGACCGGAGGATGTACTCTGGCACAGATAGGAACTGGAAATACAGTGAACCTAGGACAGATGAATCCCCCAGGACCAGTGGAGAGAGTGGTGATATTGGGAGGGTGGAGGGAGGGTGAGGGAGAAAGGGGGAACAGAGGACAAGGTCTACATATGGCCTCCTCCCTGAGGGGCGGATAGCGGAGAAGTGGGTGAGGGAGACGTTGGATGGGGTAAGATATGATAAAATAATAATAATTTATAAATTATCAGGGGGTGGGGGGAGGGGGGAGCGGGGAGGGAGAGGAAAAATGAGTAGCTGACACCAAGGGCTCAAGTGGAAAGTGGGTGTTGTGAGAATGAAGAGGTCAACATATGTACTAATGTGCTGGACACAAATGATGTATGTACGGATTGTTAAGAGTTGTTGTGAGCCCCTAATTAAATGATTAATTAAAAATCAAAAAACAAATAGCAGTCGACAGTGTGAACAGCAAGGGGCCTTGGGGGAGAAGGGGGTGTGGTTTCCAGCGAGAAGCACAGCCGGAAGTGAAGCGTGGCCCTCTCGCCACTAGGCGGAGGGGCTCTGTCTATGGGAAGCTGAGTGCTGCCCCGTTGGCCAGCGGGCTCCTTCACCCACACTCCACATGGAAAGCCGCATCCACCAGCCAGTCCTGAGGATAGCCGCTCTGGGAGCCCTCCCCACCGCCCCCCATCTTCCAACCTGATCAACGGGTGTTTTACCAGCCTGTGCTGACAGATAACAGGCTACGGGGAAGAGGGGTCATAGGCACATGTTACCCTCCCAAATCTGGACCAAATGTCAAGTGTGCTGAGAGGCTGGGAAACCAAGCTATAAATTAAAACCAACAGTCACCTCACAGATGGTGCCACCAACGCCAGCAGCAGTGACACAGCCATCTTCGTGGAGAGGAAAAGCACACCACATCCCCTTCCCCAGAGCTGCCGGGTCCCTGCCGACGGTGGGGCCAGGAAGGGGCCACCACACGCAGGGCCAGACTTTCAATGGGAAGCAGCCCCTCAGCCAGAATGCTGTCTGCTCAACTGTCAGCTGGCGGCCAGCCGTGTCACTGGACACCCTCACAGGTTGGAAACACCTGTCACCACTACCTCCACCAGGAACGGCACCGATGCCATCGAGACTGTCCCGAGGGACTCTGCTAGCCCCCTGCCCCTTCGAGGTCCATCTGTGGGGATGCAGGGAGGACGCCGAGTAATGAAAGACCCTAATTCGGAATCCAGTGCTTTCTGCTGCTCCAAAACTAGAAAACTAGACCATCGTCAAACACAAATCAGTCATCTACAAATTCCAATCAATGAACCAATCAAGCAGTAACTTAAAAAAGAACCCTCACTGCTACTGAGCTGATCACAGTGACCCGCTAAGACAGGCTAGAATTGCCCTGGGGGCTTCCCAGACTATAACTCTTTACCGGAGCAGAGCGCCTCATCCTTCTTCAGAGAAGCAGCTGGTGGTTTCAAACTGCTGACCTTATGGTTAGCAGCCCCGGGTTCAGTAACCACTACACCACCACCGCTCCTCATAACATATACGGCATAAGTTTGTAACACACACCAAGCCTCCTCGATCAATAAACAGACATTTCAAGACATTTTCCCCCCTCAAGTAAAGATTTGCTAGATGTCATTAAAATGTTAGTCCTCGGCAAAATCTGAACCACGAAGGCAGTTTATAAGATTAAAATAGGGAAGGGGGAAAAAGAAAAATATGGCCAATTGTTGGTTATATGTGTTTTACCACCTTAACATTTTAAAAGAAAGAACATAGCCCAGGCTTTAGTGAAAGTTACCCAAAAACCTGATTGCAAAGATCGACTCCGTATGTCACCTGGGGTCCTAGCTCTTAAACAAAGGCTCGGATGAGGGTGATGAGCCTGTCACATTAGGCTGGGAGGGACTCACTACCATTCCCTGCAGCAAACAAGCATTTGAGGGGACATTACATCGTGCTACATAGAAAGTGCAACGTGATAAAACACAAAAACCGCACATTTGTGAAAGAAAGGGAAACAAAATTAAGAGGGAGAACTTGTTCATCTGTGATCTCCCATCTCTCTGGAGTCCGGCTCAGGAATTACACAATAACCACAATGCATTATGAGGGGTGTCAAACAGCTGCGAGGAAGCAACCACATGATCCAGCTCTTCAGACCATGTCCCCGCACTATTTCCTAAGGGAACCCTGGAGGCATAGCAGGTTATTCATTGGGCCACTAACCTCAAGGTCAGCAGTTCAAAAGCATGAGTCGCCCCAAGGCAGAAAGATGACGGGGCTTTTCTTTTATAGTTACAGTCTCGGAAACCCACAGGGGAGGCTCTGCCCTGTCCTGTGGGGTGGCTATGAGTTGGCAATGAGATTTATTTTGTGTTTCCTGATGTCTCTGGTAAATGAATCACCCACCGGAGGAAAGACGGGGGTCCTCTCCTTACCCCACTTTCTCTTGGTGAAATAGGCATCAGGATTGGGGTCATTGAAGTGCCGGCTCATCATGGTCTCGCCCCCGGCGTGGAAGTCGTAGGCAAAAACAAGCGCTGAAAGAGAGCACCTGTGCTCAGCACTGCCTGTCAGCGGCCCAAGCCATGCCCGGGCCGGCCCAACCCGACCCCGCAGGAGGAGCCTGACTCACAGGGCTCGGCAAAGGCCTTCGTGGTGAAAACCTCCCGCAGGCTCACGATGTTCGAGTGCTGGATCTTCTTCCACATGTCCACCAACAGCATGCACTTGGTGTTCACGAGCCGGAAACCTGCCCAAGAGAAATTCCCTACTACTCCTGGGGGCTGTGGAGGCAGCCACCTCTGGGCATCCCCAATAGGAAGGCAGAGCGCCCCAGCCCTGGGGGCACCCTCACCATGGATCCTGCGAAGGCAATAGGGCAGGTCATCCTTGCTGTTGACGGCTTTGTAGCAAGATGTCATGTACCCAAAGTTACTGGACTTCTGGATCCGGTTGGGTGGTGGCAGTGGTTCCAGAGGGAACAGGCTATGGTAGCTGTCAACTTCCGAAGGGACGGCTAGAGAAATGCAGGAAAACAGCTTTCAGCTCACACCTCACAGCAGTGAGAGAGCCAATCACCACACACTTCTCTCTCTCTCCCACTGCACAAGGGCGTCTAACACTCGCAACAACTGCCAGAGCCCGGGTATGAGAAGCAATAGGAATGAGCTTCACGCACAGCATGTTTCCCACAAGACCCTGGGAGCCTCTGAGTTGGCGCCTCGAGGTCACTTGTCTCACGGACGCTCACAGTGGCTGGTGTGTTTCCTTTTACAGATTTCACTTGGGGTAAAATCTGCATGCCAAGTTCTCACTGCCACTGCGTCAATGCTGACTCCAAGTTTTAAAAATGTGTGCGTGCTTTTTCTCTTAAAGCCACGAGATCAGGCACCATGAAAAACCGAAGAGCAGAAATAAGTACGCACGGTGTGCGCCTGCCTCTGAACAAGGCACTTTCTGAAGCCTCTCGTCGTCGTGGGCCACCTAGATCATAAATCTTACAATGCCACGTGCTGGCGCGGCAAGTGCAACTAGAGGCATTCACTCCAAGGAGAGAGCGAGATTCATCGCATCACTGATCGGGACAGACTGTCAGTGAGGCCTGCACACACAGCAGCAGCCGGTGGCGGTGGCACCATGGTTTTGAGAGGGTGTGATGCCCGGGTAGTCGCTGCTGATGCACTGTGAGACACCTCCTTCCCCCCGCTCCCCCCACCTCCACCACACACTGTGCAGCCCAAATCCAGTCCTGGGGCTTTTTCATAGCAGGACTGCAGGGCAGAACCCCCACTGCCATCGAGTCGATCCTGAACCATCGCTACCCTACGTATGAATTCTGAGCCCCAAAGTGTTTCCAGGAGCAGCCAGCCTCATCCTACTTCCTCGGAGTGGCTGGTGGATTTGAACCTTCGACCCAACATCTGTTGCAGTAACAGCACTAGAGAACTAAGAGAATCGTGTTCTTTCCATTGTATTGCGGAATAAGTGGCCACTGGTCTCAAAGGTCTTGGTGGCGCAGTGGTTAAGCGCCTGGCTCCTAACTGGAAGATTGGTGGTTCGAACCCACCATCTGCCCCGAGGGAGTAAGGTTTGTCGGTCTGCTGCCGTAGCCACAAAGGCCTGTGAGACTTAATGGGGCAGCTCTGTTCTGTCGCCTAGAGCCACTCTGCGTTCCAAATGACTTGGCGGCTGTTTGTGTTTGCTTCTTCTGGTCTCTGGCTCACGGGAATAAACAGGCACCGACGAGGGGGCTTCAAAATCTGTGTGGGGAATATGTCCCCATGCCCTTTCTGAAGCCCCATGATATGCCACATTCAACGCTTTAATTTCCAGCATTGCCTCATCTACAATCACATCATCGGCAGGCGGCATCTCCACTGTGTCTTCCAATTGCTGCTTCTTCTTTCCCGCCCCTGCCTTTTCGCATGGCTGGGCTCTCACATGGCAGGATTAAATAATTCAGACATGCATCTCCCAACCTGGATGCTCCACAGACCAGTCTCTCCAGTTCCACCTAAACTTGAGCCGGCACTCCCTGGGACTGGGGCTCGAGATCGCCCCTTGGCAGGCACCGTCAGAATCAAGTCTTGCTGAGGTGCCCCCTGTTCAAATTCGCTGTGTGGTGCTGCTGTGGTGAGGCTCTGCCATGGCTCAAGCCCAGCAGCCACTCCACAGAGAGCCTATAACCAGGGCCGTGGCAGTAAGTCGGAACCCACTCGATGGCAGTGGCTCTGGTCGGTTTCGTAAGCCCTAGGTGCAATTCTATATTCCAATAACCCGTGGCAGCTCACAGGGAAGCCCATCCCTGCAAAGCTTGTCCTAAAAACACTGTGACAGGCACCAGCACTTGGAGGATGCTGGGTGCCCAGTGCCGCCTTGGGGTTCTTCCAGGGCAGATTTCAAACAGATTTATGAGCTTGTAAACAGGAGTCCAGGTCTGGAGTGGCCTGCCCACATGGCCATGGCCATAGCCACAGCCTCTAGAGCAGCGGTTCTCAACCTTCCTAATGCCACGTCCCTTTCATACAGTTCATGTTGTAGTGACCCCCAACCATAAAATTATTTTTGTTGCTATTTCATCACTGTGATTTTGCTACTGTTATGAATCGGGCGACCCCTGTGAAAGGGTCGCTCGACCCCCAAAGGGGTCACGACCCACAGGTTGAGAACCACTGCTCTAGAGGAAGGAGGCTGCTCTCTTTACCTGGCATGTCGGCTTGGTCCATCTGTGCCATGGTGATCAAGTGTCTGTGGATCAGCTCCTGCGAGGACACAAGAATAGCAGGGGTGGGCACACAGCCTCTGGGCAGCCGGGCGCCTACAGTCCCTACAGGAGGTGAAACACGGGCACCAGAAGTGGTACAAGGCCCTCATGTCCAAACCATGAGGCAGCCTTTCTAGTGATGGGCACCCGTCTACAGCCGGCCTTAGCTATGCCGCCCGGCTGCAGTGTGGAAGGCGGGGCTGGGGGGGGGCGGAGGGGACGGGCTCTGGCATCACCCAGAGCACAGTCTGGCTTTTTGTTAAAAACGCCAGGTTGGCACCACCCTGTTGAGGCTGGTTCCTGAGAGACACACTCTCGCCACTGAGAAGCAGAACATGGACTTTTTAGGGAAGAATGCCCAACTGTTGGCAAGCTGACTTCACAAAGGCGGCTTCGTGAAGCCACATCAGTGCCGTGAGAGTGGGCCCGTGTTCCCACAGCCGACTGAGAGCCAGGGCCGCGGGGAGTCGCCATGACTGTGCTTCCTCGCTGCACCTGTGCTTCTCGAGGCCCTTCCAGTCCCAGAGCTATGAAGTCCAAAACCAGGGCGCCCACCGAACACTGGCATTCCGTGTCTTGCATCCCGGAAGGGGGCGTCAAAGAGTGTGGAAATACTCCATTCTCCTGCTTCATTGTTTTCTTCTAAATCTTATTTTCATTTTTACACAAACTCTTTGACGCTACCTTGCTACCCTGCTCTAGCAACGCAGGCCTGGGCCCAGAGGCTCTCAGGGTGCCCGCGGGGCCCTGCCCAGAGCTCTGCCCTCGCTCAGGCCGGCTCGCCCCAATGCACAGCAGACATCAGTGCGCCCCTAGGAAGTCTGAGAGCATACCTGCCGGAGTTCGTCAGCCATGAAGAAGGAAGGTGCGTTTGCTTTGGGCTGCATATAAGCAACATGAGGTGCGGCTGGAGGGTAAATATGATAGTTTGGATATACCTAAAAAGGTAGGGAGGGGGAGATGCCATGACCAAAGCTTCTCGGTCGACAAGCGTTACCATTGCTGACACGCGTTCTCTCGAACCGGGACACCGGCCAGGCCTGCACCACGGCCGAGACGGCACCGCGCTCGAGGCGCCGCCAGACGACAGCACGTCCTTCCACAAGGAATCCCAGGTGCGCCAACGGTCTTTTGTGTTTTTTGTGTTTTTTTTAAACTCTAGGGAAAAGACAACATCTCTTCAAAAACGGCAAACGGATGGGTTTCGACCAGAAGGAAGAGCAGCTCTGGGAGAAATGGCTCACCCACAGCTTGGAGGCGTTTTTAAAAGTAACGGGGAGAGAGGAAGAGAGCGGTGATTATTAAGGGTGTTTGGGGAATCTTCAGAAAACGAGAGGAACATCTCCCTGGCTGCCCAAATAAATGCTCTCTTGATGGGCTGGCTGGTGGCCAATCTAGACTAAAGCTTCCCCCAAAACCTAGCTCACTGCCATCCAGTTGACGCTGACTCACAGCGACCCCATCGGGCAGGGAAGCCCTGTCCTGTGGGTTTCTGTGACGGAATTCATTTATGGGAGCAGAAAGCCCCGTCTTTCTCCCTCAGAGTGACTGGTAGTTTCAAACTGCTGACCTTACACATGGCAGTGCACTGAGTAACTACACCCATCAGGGCTCCAAGTCTACACCAAGTGTCCTGTGTACACTTGTTATGAGCACTTGGAAAATACCCAAGTCAAGCGGGCCGGCTCACTCTGCAGCCAGTAGAAGGTGCTGTGGCATACTGACCTTCCGACAAAGGACCACAGAGCTCCCCAAGTCAGTGCCCAGCTTCTCACCTCTCATCCTGCCGCTTGTCCACGCCCTTCCCCTACCCACTGACCCAGGAAGACCGAACCAAAGCACCTTCCCGAGCAGGTCTCCCACATCGTTTGCCATCGGTCTGCATTTTCAACCCTGACACACTGCCCCTCCCTCCCGCCTCTCACTCTCAAACCGAGCCCAGGTGATGGCTGCTGCTCAAGTTGGTACTCTACTCTGGGTGCCAGCCACGAAGTGGCCCTGCAAGACCCAGGTCTGCTTTCATCTCCATCTGTAGGGAGGGAACATCCTGTGCCCCTGCTCTCGTTTTCTACAAGATGGCAGAGTCTGGCCTACCTGCCGCAGGGCTGCCATGGCACACCTGTAAACAGTGGCCGTACAAGTAAAATTGCTTTAAAAGATGCTGCACTGAAGCCCAACAGAGGGACCAGAAATTGTCTTGTGACCAAAGCTCTTCCGAATAAACTAAACCAAAGTATAAAAGTCAATTCGCTCAGGAAATGAAATTTGTCCCCTCTATCCATACTGTTCAATGAAACGATAATATACTTCACTATAAAACAGCGTGAGCAGCACAAGGAAAACACTGCTGGGATTCCTAGAAGGAGGTGTCAGGAAGTTCGTGGGAAGTGGAATGAGAAGATCACGGGATTCCCCCCGACACTTCCTGAGCATCCCCACCCCCTCGGCTCAAGCAACCAAGAACGCAGGACAGCACGTGTGCAGCCTGTTCTGTGAGCGGTGCCAGGCTTCTGCCCAAAGGGGCAGCCGGGGTGTGGGGCGCTCCGAGAGCTTTCCGTGGCAGCTGCGTCCCTCCAGGAATGATGTTTGCACAGTGCCTCCTCCAAGGGGTCAGGCAGCACTCCTCCTCATGTGACGGGGAGACGGGCCTGCGCGCACACCATGGTCGCGCAGGCGCAAAACCAGGGCAGAGCTGAGAGGGAAACCAGCGAGAGCCTCTGCTCGTGAAACTCAGACTAAAGGTTCAGTCTAAGTAAGGGGGTGGGGTGAAAGTTCACCAAGATGAACCTCTCTTCCTCCTGGAAGACCAGCATCTGCTGCCTAAACGCTGCCTGTCTGTGAGGCTGGCGCAGAGAGGTCTCCCAGCTCCCACTTCCTTCCGTGTGGTCGTCACCTGCTTCCTGCTCGTCTGCAGTGTTAAAGTGAGCCTGGGAGGCCCAGGGAACTGAACCTGGGGTGCTGCCCTCATGGGACGCGCTTCCTCTCTCAGGGCTTTTGGAGGCAGGTTTTGATCCCTTCAATCTGCCCTCGCCCTCCCCAGTTCTTGCCTCGCCCACAACCCAGTGTCCTTGTGGCTGAGCCTTGCCCTCCTGAACAACGACCCGCTCTCTTCTCAGCGGCGAAGGCTCCTTAAATCACTTCATCAGTGTGCTTCCCAAGCTTCTGATAAGACTTAACCTTATCTCCACACCCCGACTTTGTATGAAAGATCACACTGTCTCTATACATTGATGTCAGGACAAGGCAGGTCCAGCTCAGAGCCTGAGGTGACCAACAGGTAAGAGATGCCACCCAGCACTAAACCAGAGCAGGAGCGGAGCCCCATCTCGGATGAGTCAGCAGCTGTGCTCAGCACAGAGTGGGGTCCTGCAGCAGCAGCACCAACACATGGCTCCGGAGAGCGGGGCGAGACTAGGCAGCTCACCCAGGTAAGGACTGGCACGGTGGCTTTTCCATAGAGACCACACCAGTGGCCAGGAGGCACCCGGCCCTTGAGGAGGGCGAGAGGCCAGTGGTCAGGGAGCTCCCACCGCCATGCGAAGCAACGTACCATTCCAGTGACGGGTGCTGGAGTTGTGTCCGTGTAGAAGTACGTTGTCCCCCCGACAGTTTCCTTTTGGATCACCTGGCCGGAAGACGGCGTCTGAGGAACAGGGTTGCTGACGGGCGTGGAGGCACTAGAAGGCACCATGTAACTGGCTGGGTTGGGAGTGTGGCTCCTTCTTCTGGGAGCAGGAGAGGTGTGAGGAGTGATCTTGGGGGAATGCAGCGGGGACGAACCAGCCGACAGGGACATACCTGCAGCAGAAGACGGGAGAGGGGGCTTCGTGGGCCACCACTGCACTAGAGCAAAGGGCTGGAGGGGCAGGTGTGTTAGAGAGCGTGCACACCAGGTGAAGGCGCGGGTCAGGACGAAGCATTTTCAAGAGCAGCCATCTCCACACCAGTTCCTGAGGGTCCCGGAAGCGCAGGCGCCTGCAGATCAGGGTTCACCTCAGACACTTCCACGGTCACAGCAGTCTGAGAAACCAAGGCAAAGGGCAGTGGCCAGGGCAGCATCTCCGGCAGGGAAAAACTCCGTGCCTTTGTAACGCAGCATTTACGAGCGTGGTCATCAGCACTGACAGTCACACTCCCCGAAGAGGCCACCCAGTGAAGACGGACCCCCTTTCTCTCAACCAAATGCAGGTCACAGGATTATTGGGGAAGAAAAACAAGTAAAAACAGTGCCTGTGTGAAAGCATGGTCGCAGGGAGGGGACTGGTGACTCGGACATGCCAGCCTCTGGAGGGGAAGCTCGGAGGTCCCAGCAGAGAAAAGACTGAGAACTGAAGTGGCACCCGACCCTCCTCTGGGGAGCCTGGGTGTCTTGTGAGCAGCCAGGACATAATCACGCGTGAGCTCTGGAACGGGGACGGTACATGAGGCGGTGGCATCACGCCGCGGGCTTTGTGATACAAAGGACTTGTAAACACTCACGGGAAAGTAGAACAGCAAGGCCAAGGGCTCTGGGAAGCACCCACACACACACACACTGGAGGCAAAGTCAATAGCACAAGCAGGGCGCACCCCCAAGTCTCTGCACAGCGTTCTGCGTGGTCACATGGACCAGGAACCCCACACGTGACTTACACGTGTCCATGGGGAAACAAACGTCAAAGAGCTACAGCCCTCTGAAACACCGACATCAAGCAGCTCTCTCACTAACAATCTCCAAGCCTGATCTTCGTTTCTGCACACTGCTCCTGACCTCAGCTTTGAGCGAACGAACGCACACTCACGCTCGATCTGCAGAGTAACCTAGACGGGAAAGAGTTCGCCGGGTTTCAGAGGGAAACACTCCCCACTGACTGAGCATGCAATGCCTGTGGGGAAAGGGTCTTCCTACAGCTAGTCTTGACATCTTTCCCAAGTCACACATGACGAATGAATGGGCGTTTCCTTGGG